GGAGAAGCAGACGACGGCCGCAGAGGGGAGAAGGGGGCCGCCGAGATTCGGCGAGCGAGGGAAGCGCAGGCGGCCTCAGGCACCGAGCGGGGCGTGGAACAACTCGAAGTGGACAGTGACGAGCATGCCGCAGAAGAGCGGGACGGCCAGGCGAGGGTGAGACGCATCAGACACAGATGCCTACAGGCTCGAGCCGCCTCGGCGCAGTGGTGACGCCAGCGCGGGCGGGCGATGGCTTCGAATCGGCCAAGTGGAAGGGTGACCCTTCGCCAGAGTGGCCTCTGGTGCGGGCCCGGAAGGGTCCCTCCAGCACTGGCTGGCGCGGTTGGGTTCGGGCCCCCTCCCCGCGGCCCCCATCGCTCCGCTCGCCAGAGGTCGCTCTCTTCTATGGTTCCCACTGCGTGCAGCCAATTTGAGGCGGTTCGGGGCCCGGGGTGGGCCACGGGGGAGGGCCCACGGCGCAAGATCCACACGGCGGGTGTGGCCGAGAGCCTCCGGGGACATTCGAGGGAGGGCATCTGCGGGCTGAAATATATCGCACGCGACCCACCGCCAGCACCCCCCCGCGCGATCCTCCTATTCACTTCTTGACTTTCACGGGAGTGATGGCAGTGCTGCCAACATCACGAAAACGCGTTTCTGTCCGCCGCCGCCGCCTCCTCCCCCCCTCTTCCCTCCCTCGCTCCCCTCCTGGATTGTTGCTTGACTCTTGTTGGCCGCTCGCGCGTCCAGATATATGAACGCACATTGTACCCGCCGTGTTTTAAAGGCCGCGGTGTCCTGCATAGGCTCGGCAATGGTAGGTTGGCTCGTGTGGCGTTCCTGGTTTGCTTGACGGCCGTCCGTTTCACACCGCGTTATTGGTCAGAGCTGGGCGAGTGCTTCCCTCTGATATGTGATTCCTCTGGGCCCCTTCAGGGCGGTTATATGCTTGATCGTGGAATGCCCTTTCGGGCCGCGAGGGGTGCAACCTCAACGATTGTGGAACGATGCGACAAGTGTGCCCTCTCCGCGAAATGTCTTGCGATACGTGCGCGCACACAGACGTTCATGCGCAATCTGCACCATCACGCATGCATGCATACATCCGCAACGCATCAGCGATCGTATCCATATGATTGGCGCTTCGAGTCTCCTCGCCAACACATCTAGGAACCCCAAAAAGGTGGGGCAACCGTCCTACCGGAGATCAGGATCAGCCTGAGCAGGCCCAGGAGTAAACCGCCGCTGCGGGCTCGGGGCCCTCACAGAGCTCTCTCTCTCTCTCTCTCTCTCTCGGGGGGCCATCTTGGAGGCCATCGACCAAAGAGGGGAGGAAGTCCCTGAGACGTGCGCCCTGTCGGGGGCCGAGAAATCTGCCTCCTGTGGTGGTCCTGGGCACTCTTGGGGCCGTCTTCAAGCCCTCCTGGAGCTCTCTTGGGCCAAGCTGGAGCCACCCTGAGGCCTCAGAAGCCCATCGTAAGCGAAAAGGCAGGAAGGCAAAACAACTGGGTTCTCTCGAGATTTCGGTCTCAAGGGGGCGTCCTTGGGAGGCGCCGTGGCCACTTCAAGCCAGCTTGGGGCGGTACTTTGTATTGTGGCCTCTTGGAGGAATGTTGAAGGCTGCCTCGAGCCATCTTGGGCTATCTTGTGCAGTCTTGGAGGCCACCTGGAGCCCTCTTGGAGCGAGCTTGGGCCATCTCGGACGCTCCAACGCGTCGCACCCACCCGTGCAGACCCAGGGAGAGTGGGTAGGGGGAGAAGTACACCTCTCCCTGAAGAGGACCAATGAAGTTGGCATGAGGAACTCGGCAAACCACATACGCCCAGAGTGTTGGTGAGATCATACGCATGTGTGCGCAACCGGTTGCGAGCATAGATGTATACGTCTCAGATCCGCTCTGATGATCATTTGCGCAACGGTACCCGCGTGGGTGTCAACTAGACGTAGGAGGGCACAAGTCTGGTCACGAAGAGCACAAGGAAGCCCCCCCCTCGCAGAAAAATAATATGCCCCCTGCACTGGAGAGAAAGGAAGGAATGTATACCTGGCCAGCTAACCAAGCATGCTGCACACACGACGCCATTGTCGTTTCCCCATCGCCATCCTCCTCCTTTTTTCTTATGCTTCTTTATCCTCCTCTTGCCCGCAAGCTTGGCGCACCAACTCCTTTGCAAGCACGATCAGGCTGATGTCTTGTCGGCCGGAGCCAATGATCTTGTCGTCCTGTCGCGTACCAGTGCCGCTTCGTTGGTTCACGCTGGGCAATCGGCAATCGAAGCGTGGATGGTGGGGGCCAGCGCGGGGCAAACGCGGCGGCTATGGCGCCATGCTTCGGGGACTGCGCTCCCCGATCCGTGGATCCGGCGCCCACGCGCCAGATCCGCGGATCCGCAGTCCGTGTCAGCGTGCGCCCGAGCTGTGGGGGTCCAGCGCGGGTCGGCCTGCAGGGGGGGCGGGTCCCAGGATCGGCTTGCCCAGAGCGGGAAAAGGGTCCCAGACATGGGTGCTGTCAGCAGCTGGTGCCAGGATGCGTACCATGAGAAGGGGAGGACCGTCGGCGCGCCAAGGGGGCAAGCGAGAGGGAGCACGCCGTCTCAGTTGGCAGCGAAGCTTCGGAGAAGGCTCAGACAGCTTCTCAGACTCCGGAGAAGGCCCGCCTCATCTGCCTTCCCCCCTGGGCGCGCCGCCGAGGGGAGATGGAAAGCAGGATGACCAGGAAGAGGGGGACAACGGGGACAGAGACGAGGAGGAGGACGACTGCACTCGAGCCCGATGATGATAGAAACCACCACCCTGCCAGTAGCGAATTGCCTTCTTCTCCAGTTCTAGAGAGTCTCGAAAGGGTGTTGCGGCATTTTTTGAGCAGGCCTGCGCCGACGTGGATCGGCGCCGGGTTGTTTTGATACAAGTTGTTTTGCTAAACGGTGTTTTTCCCCACCCACCCCTGGGCGAGGAAGGATGCCCTGGGACTCCCATATCCACGCTGTCCGCGTGGACGGCGTGGAAACAAACCTTTTTATGATGAGATGTGTGATGCTATCATAGGCTTATTATTAGTATTAGTATTATGATTTATAATATTATTATTATTATTATTATTATTTTGATTATTATTAATATTATTATTAGTATTAATTATTATTATTTTTAATAATAATAATAATAATCATCATAATATTAATAATATTCATTCTTATTATTATTAATGTTTTAGCATGCAAGTTTCATTCAGAAGCATCATATGTTGTCGAGTTGCCAGTGGTACTTGCGAGTGTAAACAAAATGTTTGGAGCGTCATGTATGTTATGGGCGAACGTGATTCTTCTACATCTGTAATCAGATACGCATCGAAGTGTTATCCCTGTGTCTTCTTAAAGTCTGTTGTCATCCTCG